TAAGCGCGGTGGAAAAATACTGCAAATTTAAATACCCATCGACTTTTGATAAGCGTGGCAGGGAAACTTAATGTTTGCTCGTGCAAGTGATGAAGAACCAAAACACTTTTGATAAACATGTTGAGGAAGAAGACCCTCGGTTGCGGTATCACCCAACTGGCTAGCAAGCCTTGGCTCTCCCAAAATTTCCCCTAAACGGAAGAGATGCCGAGAGACTACCAAAATTTACACAAAGCATTTACAGATAACTGAACTAAAGTGAAATTTATAAAATTAAACGGCACAAGTAGGAGAACTTATTATGAAATCGGCAGCTCGCCTTACAACAAGAATAGGGGACTTCAAACACCTTGCCTACAAGCATTAATAAAGAACTTATAATGTGACAACTTGCCTACAGGCGACTACGGGGGACTTCTACTGTACAAAACAATTTGTTTAAAAGAACGAGGTATTGGTAATGAATATAATGACCTACCCATAATGAATGCGATAACTTGATTATGGGCACAAAGAAGGTTACTTGAAATGTGCATGGTTGTCCGCCTACAAGAGCTAACAAGGAACATGCAATGAATGTGGCAACTTTTTTATAGGAATATATAAGGAAGTTGCAATGAACATCCTGCCTACAAGCAATAGCAAGAGATTTTAATACACATTATAACTCCCTTGTGAGCAAGAGCAAGAAATTTGTAATGCACATAACGACTCTCCTATAGGCAAGGGCAAGGGGGCTCATATCAAACAAATTAGCCAGCCTACGGACAAGAACAGCGTGGCAATGCACACTACAATTCGCCCGTGGATAGGAATAGGGAATTAGTAGTACGCACTACAATTCACCTACAATTCACTTGTGAGCAGTAGTAGGGAAATCATAGTGCACACAACAACTCGCCTACGGGCAAGGAAAAGGGGTATATATCGAACAAGTCAGCCTTCCTATAAGAGACAATAGGGGATTTGTAGCCAACAATGTAGCTCATTTACGAGCAAGAGCACAATCTCCTAGTGTCTACAGCGCAAACATCTCCTACAAACTATAATGAATGATATGATAACTTAAAGGAGATAAAATGAACTAAATAACATATGTACTATATACTACAACGGAAACCTAACTCGCCTTCAACTCACACTATTGGATCCATAACACCCGTACAAGTGGACAAAAAACATTGCTTGAATTTTAAATGAAATTCTGCACATATAAGCATACTGAAACACATGTTAATATATTGAGAACATACAAATGCATCATACAAGTGCTCTAAAAAGTGTACAAGTGTACATCACAAATACATCAAGAAATGTGCACGTTAATTTAAAAGAAAATTTGAATCCTTGCATATGCTATGACAGTCGCATATAACTTTTAATCTAAAAGTCTAAGAATATTGCGCTGATCAAATATTCAAGTTTTATTCTCATCCTTGAGAGGACTTAAGTTGACATGACTTGGATTAACAAATAAACGTCTAACCATGAATCTACCAGGGTATTTAATTTTAAAGTTTATATTAGGCCTTCCAAAGTTCTTTAAATGAAATTCATTATAATAATACAAAATTCCTGATTTCAGTGCTCGTATAATAATTGATTGTTGTACCTAATCCTTTGCTAGCTGGTGAACAAAGTCGACAAGGTTCAGACAACCAAAGATATTAAACACTTCAATCCTCAATAATAGTTGTGTTAAAAGCTAATCTTAACCAAAGGGGAATATTATCTTTTAAATGCCTCCAAACTCCTATGAAATATCAAACATTTTTAAGTAAATCTAACGTTATCTCAATGGTGGTTGTGCTGAAAGCTAATCTCAATCGGAGGGGACTCTACTTTCTAAATATCTCCAAACATCAATGAAACACATATTTTAAAATGACTTGAGCATCACCCCGATGATGTCCGTGTTAATAGTAAATCTCAACCGGAGGGGATAATTTTCTAAATCTATTAAAATTCTAAATTCTAAATCTATTAAAAGTTTAATTTTTAAAAGCGAAATTTAGTCATCTAATAACTTAAAGCAAAACTCATTCGCCCTACATAACCGTTTGATGAGTGCGATGAACTCATTAATAACTCCAGCTCACAAAAAGCAAATGTCGAACAAAGAATACTACTAAGATTCATTCTCAAATAATTTCATGCTTGTAAGAATGTAGCATTTGTCCTCTAATCAGTGGCTTGGCCAGACGACTCCACACAACCCGTAGTTTAGCCCGATGGCTCTATGTGATAAACAATTATGATTGGTCCTCTAATCGGTGGCTTAGCCAGACATCCCCACAAAGAACCCATGGCTTGGCTAGTATGACTCCACATGGTAACAATTATGACCGCAACCCTCTGACTTTGTAGCTTGGTCGAATGACTCCATTATCTTGCAATCATGACTAAAAGCTTGTAAGTTCCCCAGTGGCTAGGTACTATTGAGTAATGACGGGTAAAATAAATAGGACACAAAGCCCTCTATTAGCTAAGGTTGACATGAATTTATCTCTTAAACAAACATTCACCCCAAGTCTACATGATATCCTTGTACGAAGTAATCCATGATTGTAGATAAGGATCATTCGGTCAAGTTGCTCGACTACCTCCTTTGACAAAGTTGCCTAGGAATCATGTTGACCCGAGACGACGAAGCTATAAGATCTTGGTCAAGTCCATCATCATTCACCCACCATCCTCTTTAAGTGCAAGGAGGTGAATTTTTAATTTTAAATGTTAAATTTTAAACATTTAAGTCTGCTACTACTATATGTTAGATACTAAGTATCTGTTTAATGGCTAGCCTTAATTAAAAGTGCTCTCTTGTTATCGAGAGAGGTAATTAACTATAGGGGCTAATGCCTATAAGAAACTAGAACTCAGATCTTAAGTCCTTGCTAAGAGGGCGAAATCTCTGGGTAGTATCTTAGTTTTATGTAGTCTATCTTTCGAAAATTTCTCCTTTAGGCAAGGCCTAAGCATCAAAGCATTTTGAGGCATAAGCCTCAAAATCCGAAAATTGTATAAAATGAAAATAAAGCTTAAAATTAATTTTTATATGATATCCAAATAATATGTTAAATAATGACATTAACTTTCTATTGAACTATGAAGTAACAAATTGACAAACATATGAATAAAGAATTGCACAATACGTAAAATAGCAATTGATAAATTATGTGAAATAGAACTGCAAGATAAAAAAAAATTAAATATAGGAATTATGTAAAGTATCCTATAATATCAAGTTTAACTCCAAATTCCATTCTTTCTTAATTTCCTACTCATCCAAATTTAATTCTTAAAAAACGCTGACATAATTGACAACTTAGATATCATCTACATTGTCATCACTAAGGGGGGCTTTATTTGAGTCATAGATATAATAAATTGATCTCTCTTCTGCCTCATCCTATGGAGTTCAATGCCTCTCAAAGTGTTTCTTTTTCATTTATTTCAATCATCTCTCTTACATAAATATTTTACATCAACATAAAGATGAGAATAATACTCCAAAATTTTTAGAGGAAGTGGAGGTGATGTACAGCTTTCAAGTGATTATCGATGGTGGCTACGATGGTAGTGGCAATGGCAAAGGTGGTGGGTTGGAGGTTGAGGCAGTTGAGAGGAAGTTGTAGTGGCTTGGGGGTGCATGAAGACATGATTTGTTAGGGGCTTTAGTTTAGGATTTAGATAAGTTTTAATAAAAAATATACAAATCGAGTGAGGTGTACGCCTTACGCGAGTAAGGGCAGACCCACCTTTGGCCAAGCTGAGGCGCAAACCTCATAAGAAAAAGCTCAAAGCGTAAGCCTTGAGAGATTTTTCAGTGGAATTGCGCTGAGGCGAGCCTCATATTGTACAATTTTAAACAATGACTACAGTTGACTCATTTATAAGCGTAGTTTTTTAGCACTCATTCTTAGCTCTCGACTCATCTTCACCAACACGCACATGCAACAACCAGACGCATCTACAAAAGAATTGGAGGGGAACCCATCTCCTTTTCACCTTACCTGTAGTCCATAAATTGTTGTAGTCGTAAACATATATTCTCAAACACAACATTGGCCTATTACGGCTCACAATCCTCATGCTGTGTCAATTCTACTATTTAGATGTCACCATCATTCTTAGGACTTCAATACTTCTTTTCAATCCTTAATTTTTTTAATGTTATTATTATACTATGTAGTTTGCGTCAAGTAGTTATATACTAATTCCAAACTTATTAAATTGCTTGCTCAATTAGACCTTTAATTTTATTTGTTAATATGATAATCACACGAGAATTCTTTTGATTTTTGTTTGTTTATTAGCCTGTTTATTAACTTGTGTAAGTACTCATCTGATTAATTTAAGAAAGCCAGGTATAAGCAAAGCTCGATCATAAATAATTCTAAGCAAATCAACTATAAACATGCATGTAAAAGCTTAGCTTGAGCTCTTGGTGAAATTGAATAACTTATAGTTTGACCAAACCAGGTACAATCCATGTTATACTTGTCTCGGTTCGATTACAACCTGATATATATGTGAAAAAAGTGACAGAGCAAAAGAAAAGGTTGTGTTGACTTGCATGTGTATTTCTGAATTCTGAGCAGAATTTGAGGAGGTTTGTAATATAGGGTCGACTACAAATAATATAGTGATGACATGAAATATTTGTCTTCAATATCAAAGATTTCTGAAATTATAGGTTCAAAGTCTGAGAAAACGAAATTTAAATGCTAACTAATTTTAAGGTGACTTTCTTCTTGCAGTTTGAATGCAAAGCTCCCAAGAGGTAAATCTTCAGTGTTCTCTACCTTAATAAGTTTTAAAATTTCTTAAACGCATTTTACATGACTCAAAGGCTTAAATTTCTGTTTGAAAATTCAACTAAAAACTAAATAAAGGATAGTTCCTCTCATAATTACTATCTTAGATCAATTAAATACAGTTTATTCAGCATAATAGTTTAACAAGTCTATGCAAAAGTATAATGGAAAATCTGAACGAACCATTGTAAAGGTAGGCTCTTGATGTTGAAACCAGCACTTAACATTCTCCACTTCCGGCATTTGTCGCATTGAACCCATTCATGATCAGGTTTATACTTTTCATCGTTGGTTTCCTGTACAAACAACAAGAAAATATGCACGTTCAACTATTATACGATGCAGGCAAGATAGAGAGCAATCACCACAAAAGGGAAAAAAATTACCAGCAGAAGTTTTGATGAAATAGAGCAATTAAATATTTAAGTTCGCTAGCAACTCCTAAGAAGACAGCTCCAGTGAAAGGTGATAAAGAGGAAGAAAAGGAAAGAAAGAACAAGATGATTTTTATTAACCTATTTCAGAAAATTAGATCTTGAAATGGTCATATTGTTCAATGATTGCAAATCAAGACTTAACTCTTCCACAAATTGATAAGTGATCCACTCATATAATCACCAAAAAAAAACAACTCAACTAATGGCTTAAAGGCAGCTTAGCCACACATAACAACATGCAGAAATTTAACTGTACCCATTTATTGTTCACATAAGTTGCGGCGTGATACTAATGTTTCTCAAAATCAATTTGGATTCATGCCGGGTAGGTCGACTATGGAAGCCATACATTTATTTAGAGGTTTGATGGAGAAATATAGAGAAAATAAGGAGGATCTACATATGATATTTATTGATTTAGAAAAAAGCATATGTTAAAGTTCCAAGAGAAGAGCTATGGAGAGTTCTTGAAAAGAAAGGAGTTAATAATACTTATATTCAAATCATTAAAGATATATAAGGAGGAGCTATTATATGTGTTCAAACACATGGTGGTTTGACCAAGTATTTCCCTATTTCGGTTGGGTTACATCAAGGATCCTCCTTAAGCCCATATCTTTTTGCTTTAGTCATGGATGTTCTCACTAGACATTTGTAAGAGGATGTACCTTGGTGTATGCTTTTTGCTGATGATATTCTTCTTGTTGATAAGACTAGAGAGGGAGTTGAAGGTAAACTTGAATTATGGAGGTCAACCTTAGAGTCTAAAGGTTTTCGCTTGAGTAGATCTAAAACAGAATATATGGAGTGTAATTTTAGCAGTAATAGTCCTAGTGAGGGGATTGTGACTTTGGGCGATCAAGTCATTAATAAGAGTACACGTTTTAGATATCTTGGATCAATTGTTCAAAGTGATGGTGAAATAGATGGGGTATTAGATTTGACTTATGTTAAGAAAGGTAGAGGTAGACCTAAAAAGACATGGTTAGAAAATATTAGGAATGACCTTTCTTTATTAGATTTAAACAAGAATTTGACCTTTAATAGGACACAATGGAGAAAAAGGATTCATGTAGACGACCCCATGTAGTGGGATAAAGGCTTGATGTTGTTGTTGTACCTATACATCCATTGCTATCCTCCATCAGGGTAGTAGTTTTTGAGCCATGCACGTGCTCTGTGTGCATGTTGTGGTTGCTCTCTAGTCGATAGCTCCAATTGGTCATGTCTGATAATGTTCACATCAATTCCAACTGCGCTTGAAAAACAACCATGTCCTCAAGGCCATTGCTTGATTGGGTGGCATGTAGCTCATCATTTGTGATCAAGGTAGCCTCAATGGGGAACATCACAGTGCATCGGACATGCTACCACCACCATGTCCCTTCTCCTATACATATTTTCCAGGAGCACAGTATATGTTCTGTTTGTACGATATGATGACCATCTCAATTATCTGGTGACAACGGTGCATGATGTGGGTTGTCTTCATGAAAAAGTATGAGCAAAGCAATGTGAAAGACAAGGTGAATCCAATATGCATGGGGCAACCCTAGAATGCTTGCAATATTGCTAACTCTATCTTGAACAAAAAAAGGAACCGTAGCAATGATGATTGAGCTTGGAATATTAACTAGTTCAAGCGACGAGCTGTTGGTAAGGCTAAAGTTTAACAAGAACCATCCATATCAAATTCTAGGCCACGGAATTTCTTATTTTCTTATTGTTTCATGCAGTGTCACGCACAGTTCAGATCTTCTTTTAGAATGCAAAGGATGTCATCCCTCTCTTGCAGCTTTTTAACCATTGAATCAACAGCATATATATTGCTGGAATAGGGATGGACTGATGGTAGTAGTAAATCGTAGAGCACTTGATAAGTGGACATCTCAATGATGGGATGAAAGAATGAACTGTCCTAAAGTTCCACCCACAGTAAGAATTTCCCATTAATTTGGGTTGTCCATAAGATAGAATCGGAAATATTTTTAGATATTACGATTTTGCTATTTTAGTCTGGCCATCTTTCTTGGGGTGATGTGTTATACTAAAATGAAGTTTGGTACCCAATTTTTTGAATAAGGCCTGCCATAAATTACTTGTAGATAGTTATGGAGGTAAGGCAATGACGTGAGCATCATAATAGTTATTTGGCCCTTTGATGGGGGGAAGACTAACAGTGAAATCTATAGTTAAGTCATCCCAAGCTGGCACTATAATAAACAACAATTGTAGAAAACCGATGGGTGCTAATGGTTCATAGTTTTTAACGTGACAAACAAGGCAAGTGTGGATGAACTCATAGTAGCCATTCCATGGATTCAACTAATGAAAATATTCCAAGATTCGTTGTAGTTCCTTAGTCTGACATGGTCTCAATTGATTCCAGTTTGTAATGGTTCAAGAGGCCCCTTTTAATGAAAGAATTAGCTGGTAGAGCAATGCAACCATTTCTGTAGATACAACCACATAAGAAAATATAGTTTGAGAGGCTTGTCGGTTCTATTGTTATGCGATCCTGATGTTGTTGGAGCTCAAGATTCCTCGTAGTTTTGGCTCACAATTTAATAAGAATATTAGGAATTAGGGAGCTAAGTAATGTAGACAATGCTAATTGGACTGTGTTGGAGGGATCGTCTTCATGCAGTCTGGATGATTATCTTCAACCATGAAGTCATAACCTAGTATTTTTTACCAAAAAATGATGTTGCTCCAGAGTTTGTATGACTTGAGCTAGGATTTCATTAATACTTTTTTTATCAGTTATAATAGTGAAATGAGGGCCCCAATGGCTATTGTCGATATTTGGCTACTTCTTCTGTGACAGAGAACATTTAGCTGAAGAACAGGTTTGTTACATCATCCGTTTCAATTTTGCACTTTAAAAAATAATAGGTTTAGAGTCTTGATGGAGGACTACATCAATGCCAATGTCAGAGCTACATGTATCAATTATAAAGTTACATTACCATCATTAGAGATTTAGCTAGTCTTTGTTTAGGTGTCTGAAAGGCCTTTTTTGTAATGATCGTCCATTTGAAGCTATTACGTTCAAGCATTAATGTGAGTGGTGGGAAAAACAGACAAAGCTGTTGATAAATTTGAGATAGTAACCCACGAGGTTAAGGAATTCACAAAGAGCTTCAAGGGTGTGCGAAAGGAGCCTATGGAGAACCATGTTCACCTAGTTGTTTGGTTGGATGCTAATTACAGAAATCATATATCCCAAGTATTCTATGTGGTATTATCCAAAAGAGCACATAGAATGCTTGAGGTGAAAGATGTATTCCCTTAGATAGATAAAAGCTAAATCTAAGTGATTAGAATGGGTATAGATGGAGCTTCTTTGGATAAGAATATAATCAAGGAAAACGATAACAAATTTTCTTAAAGTATGGTTTGAGGATTACATTCATCGCATTTTGGAATGCGGAGGATGCATTCATCGTACTGAATGACATCACTAAGAACTCATGTAACACCCCACAATACCCCTTAATAGTACTGTAAAGTATAACAAAAATAATCATAACATTTCCATCACCAAACATCTCATTAAGTTCATTTCATTTCAGATCTATATAACATATCATGTAAACATAATTTAATACAACAAAGGAAGCATCTAATAATTTAAATACTCCAATTATAAACTTACAGAGCCACTACAGCAACCAACTAATACAAGACTGAAATATTTCATACCTCTAAAAGTAAACTTACTAACAAACGTAACTTTAACATGAAAAGAAGAAACACTTGTATAAATTAGTTTACATCAATCTTCTCTTTTCTCTTTCCTGTAACAACATCCAGAAGAAAGTTCTGGTGAGCTGTGAGGCTCAACAAGTAATACAGAATTAATTAGCAATTACAATAGTATAACATGAATAATTACAACATCGAAATTATTATCGAAACAATACAAGTCATAATCAATATTATGCTTTGCTACCTTTAGAATCCTTGTTGAATATAAATTTTATGTGAAAGATTTGGCTATATTTTCATAACATTATACAATGGAGCCCAGGTAAACTTGGCATTATCGCCATTGAATTATATAGAGGTTCTTTTTGCCTTTTTTGGGGTCCCTTTTTCCCCACCTACTACGCAGGTTTCATAATTCTATGGGGTCCCTTTTGTCCCTGGGGTCCCTTTTGCACCACTTACCATGTAGTTCCGATATGGGAACCCTTTTGTCCCAACTACAATGATAAGGCCTACATTATTCATAGCCAAACTTTACATTAATTTAGTATTCAACAATCTTTCATAATTCATATTATATCAGCCTTCATTATCATACATGACATATCTTATGTAAGACTAATATACATTAGCTTTTCAAGAAATATCACCTTAGAAAACTTTCCAATGACCTTACAAAACATTGGCTTGAAATTATATCGTAACAAAGATATAAACATCATGTCGTATTTAAAGGTGTGAAGAAAACATTCTAAATCAAAACAAATGAAAAATAACCTATAAGTTTATTTAAACATTAATATTTGCTTTACTTACATTCCTGATGAATTTCCTCCTCCGCTCTTTCATCTCGCACTTTTCTCCTTTGATAAACTATCTCAAATTCGCCTCTCTGCATATATGTCTTTCTTTCCAAAATTCAGTTTCTCCAACTATATCTCTATTCTTCTTTTAGATCCTTCTTCCAAACCCTTCGAAACCCTATTGTTCCCTATTTTATAAATTAGATTGCACACTTATCACATTAATCATATTTAAAACTTAGTAAATCTTTCTACAATTAGTTAAGTTTACGTACCTAAATGTATTTTCTCCACACACTTCCTACACAAAAAAAAATCTGAATTGTATTGCTTCTACCAAAATCT